AGGTGCGTGCATGTGTCTGTATTCTTATGAGCTCATGCACACGTGCGGGCATGTGTAGGTGTGTGAGGGCTCGTGCATGCTCGAATGTCTTCACTTTCCACCTATTCATTCAATACCACCCCTAGTTTTACACCTCATTCAACCAACCCCATCTACGCACTGTCTCACCTTTGGGCTTGATCTGGTACGCCAGCTGCATGGAGTACCGCGTGCTCTTGGCTGCTTTCAGTGCTAACAATCGTGCAAGGATGAGGCTGCAGGTTTGGAGCAACCCCCTCTGTTTCAGCTCCTGTTGATTGGGCAACCTCTGCACACACGCCATGTATCAGAATCATTAGGGTATACACGCACTTGCATTCAGACTCTAGTTCAGTTTCGCTTCATAAACAGTACAGCCTTCACAAACCATCCGTCTGAAGCATGCTGCATGGTTGTATGACCAACATAGCATACTCTTGTGCCAACGCCACGCTGTTGCTCACCTTGTCTCCGCACGCTCTCGAAGGCTTTACCCCTTCGGGCCCCACCCCAACCGTTTCCACGAACAGGGCGTATTTTCCCCTTCTTATCCTCTTTGTAGGGCGGGAAGTTGTAAACCAGACCCTCGATTGGGCGATCTGCCTTCTCCACTATCCCAGTTACGGCGTTAATACCACTGTTTGCCCGTGCATCGAACTGGCGCCCGTATGCCTCAAGGTGAAGCTCTGCCGTCGCCAATGCATCTCCCCCATGTGTTCCTGCCATGGAACAACGGTGACACCAAGTATATCCCATCCATTATTGTGTGGCTGCTTGTGCCATTGTGATGCGCTAAACGTTCAGATTGCTCAACTATCACGGACACACGACCATGCTAGGACTTGATCACCAACTTTCCACCCTTACCTGCTTCTTTGGCAGCCCGCATCAGCCGTTTGTACGCTGTAGGGGCGTTCATCATGAAGTAGTAAAGAACATCAGCAGTTGTCGCCTCGGTCTTCCCCCCCATCAATGCCGACAACCCGCATCGTTGAAGGCATATGACTGGCCTCATATGCTTGGATATGCCGTGAACCGCCTTGTCATGCTCGTCGCTAAGATTCGCTACAGTGGACCCTCCACTTGCTCTTGCATCCGTCTGCCTCCCACGCCTGAAGGTTGGGTTTGGAAATGGTGTGTAGATTTGCGCGGTTTGGAATCGATGGCTGGATATGCGTTACAAGGGAGACCCCAACAGCCAAAGACAATGACGGACAACTTGTATTTCCTGCGCGACAACGCTGGGCGTGCGCGCAGATTCAGCAGCATTTGAATGAGGAAAGATGGACGAGATTGACGGTGGACACCAAAACAGATGATGAGCCCCGACGGGGAATAATAAGTGGGGGAAAGGAGCCCACTGTGGTGCCTCTCCCACCTTCCCCTCTGCAGGTTCACATCCCCTCCTTTTCGTACAACCCATCCTGCAGCATCTTCCCCCCGCATCACCCGTGTGAGGTGATGCGAGCGCATTTCAACCGCCATAATCATGGTGCTGGTGAGTGGGTGGTGTACATGGTGCTGGTGAGTGGGTGGTGTTGATGGTGCTGGTGAGTGGGTGGTGTTGATGGTGTGGTGAATGGGTGGTGTTGATGGTGCTGGTGAGAACGAGGCGCTGTATGGGAGGGCGCACCTAGGATGAAATGGGTCGCTGCAAGATAGGAGGGTACGCACGGTCGGAAAGGTGGTGTGGCCCTAGTGCTGTGGGAAAAGCGGACCAGGGGAAGTGGGGGATTGGATGGGGGGAAGTGGGGGATTGGACGGGGGGAAGTGGGGGATTGGACGGGGGGACGTGGGGGATTGGACGGGGGGACGTGGGGGATTGGACGGGGGGACGTGGGGGATTGGACGGGGGGGAGTGGGGCATTGGATGGGGGGAAGTGGGGGATTGGATCGGGGGAAGTGGGGGATTGGACGGGCGGGTGTGGTGGAAAGGAAAGGGTAGTGCGGGGAAGGACGAGGTGGAGGGGGGGAAAGGGAGGGTAGGACTGGGGGACAGGGAGGGTGTTTGTAGGGGAAATAGAGATCGCAGGGTGTAGAAGGGGGTGAGCAAGTGTGGAAGAGAGTGAGCCGTGTGTTGAAGGGGGTGAGCAAAGGGGGAAAGAGAATGACCAGGGTGGTGAAGGGGGTGAGGAAAGGGGGAAAGAGAGTGCGCAGGGTGTAGAAAGGGGTGAGCAGGGTGTAGAAAGGGGTGAGCAGTGGGGGAAAGAGAGTGAGCAGGGTGGAGAAGGGGGTGAGAAAAGGGGGAAAGTGAGTGAGCAGGGTGGAGAAGGGGGTGAGATTAGGGGGAAAGAGAGTGAGCAGGGTGGAGAAGGGGGTGAGCTAAGGGGGAAAGAGAGTGAGCAGGGCGGAGAAGGGGGTGAGCTAAGGGGGAACGCAAGTAAGCAAGGGTTAAGGAGAGGGAAATATACCACACAGGGAGCAAGGGAGTGAGCAGAGGGGAAGAGTGTGTTCAAGGGGCAAGGGAGTGAGCAGGGGAATGAAGGGGCGAGCAAAGGGGGAAATGGACCACACAGGGGGAAAGGGGGAACTTGTGGTGACGGGGGGGGGGAAGTGGAGGCGACGGGAGGGGGAAGTTGAGGTGACGGGAGGGGGAGGTTGAGGTGACGGGAGGGGGAACTGGAGGCGACGGGAGGGGGAAGTGGAGGCGACGGGAGGGGGAAGTGGAGGCAACGGGAGGGGGAAGTGGAGGCGACGGGAAGGAAAAGGGAAGGCGATGGGAGGGGGAAGTGGAGGCGACGGGTGGGGGAAGTGGAGGCGACTGTAGGGGGATGTGGAAGCGACGGGAGGGGGAAGTGGAGGCGACGTGAGGGGGAAGTGGAGGCGACGGGAGGGGGAAGTGATGGCGACAGTAGGGGGAAGTGATGGCGAAGGTGGGTGCCTTGAAGATGGTCAAGTGGCGTCGCTATTTATTGAGCGAAAGTGAGGTTTCCCACGTAGTGCCATATGACGTTATCCGCGCTGGCATTCAGTGTTTGATATTCCGCCGCATTCCGATGCTTTCAGAATGCGCCGACGTTCGTGCCGTGTCTACGGCTTTTTCGTACCTTCGGGAAGCATCCTTTCCAGGGCGACGGGCCATATTCCCTATCTCGCCGTCTCGAATGAAGTGGTTCTGTTTGTTGATGACGGTCGTGTGACGTTTTTTATCTCAACTGCAACCTTTATGGCTGTCGTAATGCTAAGGATTTGGCAGTTTTATCATCCGCGACGCAAGTGTGCTTGCTCGTGCCGCCTACTGTAGTTGGCTGCTGTATGCAGTATCAAGTACTAGCGGGCCTCATGGTTGGTTGTCGAAAGCCTAGGTCATGGTGTTGTGTGTGTGGCAGCGCAAGAGCTGCGGAAGTGTTGTGTTGTGTGTTTTTTGGTCGCGGTGTGTGGTGCGCCGTGCGACAATTTCTATTGGCTGGTTTTCTATTGTTTGACTCGGCTGTTCGCTAAACAATTCGCGATTTCGCTTACTGGGTGTGCCTTCTTTCGGCTCCCAACTTTCACTTTCACACCCCTCGCCACCCGTTGTTCCCCTGGGCCAAGTTTTAAAAACTTGTGCAATTTGGGCCAACGGCTTTAACAACTGGGAGTCAAAGGGACGTCAGGTGTACCGAACTTTGGATATCATGACCTACTACTAGTAGTCATTGCTCGAGCAATAACCTGACCGGGTGAGTGCGCCGCGCAAACCAGATTTGGCCATCGCACTTTTTGACACATATCGGCAGTGGTCCCGGCGTCCCGATGTGACCAGCGCATCTTTACACGTCACTGGGGGCCATTTTGGGCCGCATGGCGGGCGGACAAGTACGGAAACGTATGGCGCGCGTCTGCCACGCAGCGTGTGCCCCGTGTGGGTCTGCCTGCTCGTCTACATATCACTGGGCCTCTGAGAGTGTGAGTCACTTTCATTTGGCTTTTCGAGAGCTAGTACAAGCATCCCGCAGCAGTGAATGTGCCAGAGGAGTTGACTCAATCTTACTAGCGAAAGCCTAGTACCAGTAGTAGCAAAAACCTAGTTACCAGTAGCCGACGAAGAAGCAGCCGAGACCAGCAGCATGGTTCGTCGCGCCCGCGCATGTCTCCTCTGCCGCCTGCTGCTCTGTAAGCCCTTAGTAGTAGTAAGGGGCTCGCTTTCAGTTTCGCATCCGACATTCCAACTGTCACTGACTGCTGTTAAACTTTCGATTGGATGATCCCCGTCAGATCGACGAAACATGATGATCGTGCCTGCTTGCGTACCCTGCTTGCGTGCCCTGCTTGCGTGCCCTGCCTGCGTGCCCTGCTTGCGTGCCCTGCCTGCGCGCCTGGCTGCGTTCCTGCTTTTGCCTGTCGCCTGTCTTCCTGTCTGTCTGTCTGCCTGCAGGTGCGACGGTCTGCACAGCCTACGGCGCGTCAGCCGCATCATTGCTCGTGCGGCCGTCCGTCCCTCACCCCGTGCCCGGCGGCTCTCCTGCCGCTTCTGCTCCTTCTGCCGCCGCTGCCGCTTCTGCCGCTTCTGTGGCTAATGCCTCTCAGGCCAAGCCTCTGGCTTCGAAGGGAACGATGTTGTGTAAGTGTTATAGCCGTCAAAATCATCATCATCTGCTAACTATCATAGTTACTACTGGTATGTTTTTTGTTGGAGGGCTGGCTGTTTTCCAGCTGTGGCCCTTACTGTTAACAGTCGGCCCAACGCTGACTGTGGAATTCGCCGTGCACATAAAATCAGTTGCAAGTGGTAAGGTAATACCCGAGAGCCTTTTCATCACGTTTATGTATCATAATGGTGCCGCTGGTGTGTGCTGCAGCTGGTGTGTGTGTGCTACGTGATTTACACTCCCGAACTTCCCAATCCTTTGCATTTCTTGTATGATGATCTACCAGCTTTTTCTTGTCTGCCAGCTCTTTTATTGACTTCCCTTTCCCGTTATTGACAGAATCAACAGCCAAGCTGCATCCTACCGACCTTCTTCTTTTTACCGGCTTCCCAATCCAATGCATCTTCTCATATGCTGATAACCTCTTCTACCTTTTTTTTGCCTTCCCGTTCCCCTTCGCCTTCCCGTTCCCCTTCGCCTTCCCGTTCCCCTTCGCCTTCCCGTTCCCCTTCGCCTTCCCGTTCCCCTTCGCCTTCCCGTTCCCCTTCGCCTTCCCGTTCCCCTTCGCCTTCCCGTTCCCCTTTCGCCTTCCCGTTCCCCTTCGCCTTCCCGTTCCCCTTCGCCTTCCCGTTCCCCTTCGCCTTCCCGTTCCCCTTCGCCTTCCCGTTCCCCTTCGCCTTCCCGTTCCCCTTCGCCTTCCCGTTCCCCTTCGCCTTCCCGTTCCCCTTCGCCTTTCCCTTCCCCTTCGCCTTTCCCTTCCCCTTCGCCTTTCCCTTCCCCTGCGCCTTCCCGTTCCCCTTCGCCTTCCCATTCCCCTTCGCCTTCCCATTCCCCTTCACCTTCCCATTCCCCTTCGCCTTACCATTCCCCTTCGCCTTTCCATTCCGGTTTACAGTCAGACTCGCAGCCAAGCTGCGGCCTACCAAGTGCATCGGGAAAGTAGTCGGTGACAAAGGAGCTTCGGGGAAATTTGTTCTCGCGGTAAAGAAGTACGCCCCTGTCCCCTCGTTCACTTGTCCCCTTGTTCACTTGCCCCCTCGTTCACTTGTCCCCTCATTCACTTGCCCCCTCGTTCACTTGCCCCCTCGTTCACTTGCCCCCTCGTTCACTTGTCCCCTCGTTCACTTGTCCCCTCGTTCACTTGTCCCCTCGTTCAATTGTCTCCCCGTTCACTTGTCTCCTCGTTCACTTGTCCCCTCGTTCACTTGTCCCCTCGTTCACTTGTCCCCTCGTTCACTTGTCCCCTTGTTCACTTGTCCCCTCGTTCACTTGTCCCCTGGTTCACTTGTCTCCTCGTTCACTTGTCTCCTCGTTCACTTCTCCCCTCGTTCACTTGTCCCCTCGTTCACTTGTCCCCTCGTTCACTTGTCCCCTCGTTCACTTGTCTCCTCGTTCACTTGTCTCCTCGTTATCTTGTCTCCTCGTTCACTTGTCCCCTCGTTCACTTGTCCCCTCGTTCACTTGTCCCCTCGTTCACTTGTCCCCTCGTTCACTTGTCTCCTCGTTCACTTGTCTCCTCGTTCACTTGTCCCCTCGTTCACTTGTCCCCTCGTTCACTTGTCCCCTCGTTCACTTGCCCCCTCGTTCACTTGTCCCCTCGTTCACTTGTCTCCTCGTTCACTTGTCTCCTCGTTCACTTGTATCCTCGTTCAACTGTTCGTCTGGCGGCGCGGACATGAGTTCACAATCAGTTTTGAGAGTCTTGCGAGTTGGGCCCCATCGCATTTTTTTTTAGGTCTCCGCACGAACAACCCTGTGTGCTCCTCCCGAATCGTTCCGTTTTGCACCGAGTCAAATCGCACTGAGGCAGTACTTTCTGAGGCAGCAATGAGAACCTATGCAGCACACTGTGCACTGTGCACTGTGCACCGTGCACTGGCAGTACTCTGCAATGATTGTGAGTGTCTCCTCTGTTGACTTTTGAGTCGACTCAAAAGTCAAATGTGCACCTATGCAGCGCACTGCGCACTGGCAGTGCTCTCCATTGATTGTGTGAGTGTCTCCTCTTGTCCTCTTGCCTCCTCTTGTCCTCTTGCCTCCTCTTGTCCTCTTGCCTCCTCTTGTCCTCTTGCCTCCTCTTGTCCTCTTGCCTCCTCTTGTCCTCTTGCCTCCTCTTGTCCTCTTGCCTCTCTTGTCCTCTTGCCTCCTCTTGTCCTCTTGCCTCCTCTTGTCCTCTTGCCTCCTCTTGTCCTCTTGCCTCCTCTTGTCCTCTTGCCTCCTCTTGTCCTCTTGCCTCCTCTTGTCCTCTTGCCTCCTCTTGTCCTCTTGCCTCCTCTTGTCCTCTTGCCTCCTCTTGTCCTCTTGCCTCCTCTTGTCCTCTTGCCTCCTCTTGTCCTCTTGCCTCCTCTTGTCCTCTTGCCTCCTCTTGTCCTCTTGCCTCCTCTTGTCCTCTTGCCTCCTCTTGTCCTCTTGCCTCCTCTTGTCCTCTTGCCTCCTCTTGTCCTCTTGCCTCCTCTTGTCCTCTTGCCTCCTCTTGTCCTCTTGCCTCCTCTTGTCCTCTTGCCTCCTCTTGTCCTCTTGCCTCCTCTTGTCATCTTGCCTCCTCTTGTCCTCTTGCCTCCTCTTGTCCCTGCTGACAGGCTCTCTGCATCCTCCTACACCGTGACCACTAAGTTCCTGATCAGGAACCTCAAAGGAGGAGACAAACCCGTCTACGATTTCGTACCTTTCTGCACAGAAACTCCCGCATCAACGCTCGACTTTGTGAACGTCACGAGTGCCAAGGCTGGGCGGCGTGGGCGCTACAGCTGGAAATACGAGGGTGTGCAGCGCGCGGACAGTGAGTCCGCGGCACGCGGGGCTGCGGTCATGGTTGTGGCGGGTCCATTTGCCATCATAGGTCGTGCAGGTAACAGTCACGCGCTTTATGGCAAGGTTAAGGGATTGAAGAAGGCCTCTAAGAAGTAGAAGCATTTAGGTGGAAGTTTTTTAGTCGACTCAAAAACAGATTGCGGAAGACCTATTACTGGTAGAAGTATCTGGGTGGAAGTGCATGGCTAGAGAGTCATGCACATGTAGGTAACATATCATGCCAATGCTGCATTGCATTTTTGGGAGAAATGAGAATTGGTTAGACTTACCGTAAAATGCGTGGTTCCTGGCTACAGAAACTCAATCCCGTCTGCTGTGAGCAAGAGCCCCTGGTAGTTTATGGGGGTGTGTGTTTGGAGAGGGCAGTGGAAGGTGAGGTGAGGGGTGGAGGGTGGGGAGTGGGGAGTGGGGGGGTGGGGAGTGGGGAGTGGGTCGAGGGGGGTGGAGAATGGGGAGTGAACGCCCTAGTGGTTGCAGCACAATTTTTTAGGCGCCTCAAGAATATTCTCCAGGCAGTTTGGGAGTGTGGGTGTGGGGATTGAACGCCCTAGTGGCCGCAGCACAGCCAAGGACCCAAGAGGGGGCACCAACCAATCAACCCATCATCAACTCGTCACCCATCAAGAGGACTTTAAAACACTCAGTCAAGGGGCCAATTGAGCAGTCATATGCTGGCTTCCTACGGAGTCCACTCAAAAGGCACAAACAGGGACTCACTAGGGGTCAACCCATCACGAAACTTCTAAAATTGTGGCCGTAAGGTAAACAGGTAGTATTTTTTCTTCCCCTTGCCTCCCTTTCCCCCACGCTCTCCCGTCCCCTTGGCACTCAGTTGAGCCGCCCTAGTAGTTGCAGCAGCTTTCTTCCAGAAGCAGCAGTGTTGTTCCGAAGGTATTACCAGGAATGGGAAGGTGTGGGAAGGAATGTGAAGGACAAACTGATTAGGTGGATGCACTTAGTGTTGTTCGGCATGAAAACATTTCTCACTTTCTTCCATATGCTTCCACCAGCAACAGTAGAGGTCAGTGGTACCGATGAAATAGATCGTGTGAGGTAGGGGCTTGTCGTGAGATGCCACCGTCTGTCGATACTTGCAAGTCCCTCCTTTATCTTTCCTCACTCACTCCCATCCTCTCACACGTTCTCCTCCTTTCACTCACCCTCTTCCTCTTACTCACTCTAATCCGCCCTTCTCAGCAGCATCGGAGGAGACGGAGCCTCTGGGGGGGCGAACTGCCATCCCATGAGCTGTGTCGATACAAAGCGCACTTATAATATCTCTCTTACTCACTCAAATCCGCCCTTCTCAGTAGCAGCGGCGGAGACGGAGCCTCGTGGGGGTCCGGATTGCCATAAGCCATGAGCTGGTTTGATAAACAACTCACGCATCATCTCTCACACTCACTCTCATCATCTCTCTCACTCACTCTCATCTTTTACTCACTCTCCTCTCACTCTCTCTTCTCATTCTCTGCTCGCCCTCACTCTAGTCTCCCCTTCTCAGCAGCAACAGTGGAGACGGAGTCACTGGGAAGGCGAACTGCCATGAGCTCCACTTTGAACACCAATGTGGCGCTGCCACGTGGACGGTGGACCAATGGGGGAAAACGATTTCGAGGTGCTTTCTAGACGGAGAAAAATGAGGCTGAAATAATGTGCGGGAAAGTTTGGAGGGTAGTGTCAGAAATAACGTGCAGGAATGAATGACTAGAAGCATGAGATGAGTACAAGTACAAGGTCTAACCCTAAAGTTTTGTACTCAGTAGAGGCTGCCCAACTACAGCCTACAGATATACAAACACAGTTTGACACACCCCCATAGGCAAAGTGGGGGATAGCAAGAACAACGAACGGTCACAATGTCAAACTGTATGTTTGTGTTCTCTCTAGGCTATAGTGGGTTAGCCTACAAGGGGTACAACACTTTAGGGTTAGTACTTGTACCCAACTCATTCATAGTTCATTCATTCCTGCACATTGATTCTGACATGGTATTCAGAGCAGGAAACCTGTTAAGTTTTTAGGGCCCACCAATCGTTTTGCTAAGTTCCTGTCCGAAGCGCCCTTGCGCTGTCCGGCCCTCTCGCACAGTGTCACGCTGCCCTGCAGCTACTCGCACTGCCTGCCCTAGCGCGCTGCCCTACTATCACGCGCGCCCCTGCTGCCCGAGAGCAGCCCCTGCCCGCGCGCTTCTGCTGCCCGCGTGCAGCCCCTGCCCCGCGCGCTCCTGCTGCTTGCGAGCAGCCCCTGCCCCGCGCGCCACTGCTGCCTGTGAGCAGCCCCTGCCCCGAGCGCCCCTGCTGCCCGCGAGCAGCCCCTGCCCTGCGCGCCCCTTCTGCCCGCGAGCAGCTCCTGCCCCAGCGCGCCCCGTCTGCAGGGTTGCGTCTGCAGGGTTCACGCCCTACTGCCCTGCGCGTCGCGCCCTGCTGCAGCCCGCGCGTCGCGCTCTGCTGCTCCGCGCGTCGCGCCCTGCTGCAGCCCGCGCGTCGCGCCCTGCTGCAGCCAGCACATCGCGCCCTGCTGCCCTGCGCGTCGCGCCCTGCTGCAGCCCGCACGTCGCGCCCTGCTGCAGCCCGCGCGTCGCGCTCGTCTGCTCCGCGCTTCGCGCCCTACTGCAGTCCGCGCGCCGCGCTCTGCTGCCCCGCGCGTCGCGCCCTGCTGCAGCCCGCGCGTCGCGCCCTGCTGCCCCGCGCGCCGCGCCCTGCTGCAGCCCGCGCGTCGCGCCCTGCTGCCCTGCACAGCGCGCGCCCTGCTGCCAGCGCCGCCCAGGCCGAGCCGCGCCGCCCAGCCCGAGCCGCCCTGCGCAACCCGAGCCGCCCTGCTGCTCGTGCTACTGCTGCTGCTGCTGGAGGTGCTGCTGGGAGTGCTGGAGGTGCCGCCCAGCACCACCGAGCCGCTTTGCTGCTACTACTGCTGCTGCTGCTGCTCGTGCTACTGCTGCTGCTGGTGGAGGTGCTGCTGGGAGTGCTGGAGGTGCTGCTGGTGCTGGAGGTGCTGGAGGTGCGGCTGGGAGTGCTGGAGGTGCTGCTGGTGCTGGAGGTGCTGGACCTACTACTGACCGTCACTGCCTGTCATGGTAGTTGCAGCGTCTAGGGGTGGACATCGGCGGTCACTGCCTCTCCCGGACGACCCCACCCCTCAGCAGCTTCGTGAGTGGGTTTTTCAGCGAGCCCGTCCAGGTGGTGGAGGCTTTGGTATTCTGCGTACTGCACGGAGGCGGCAGCAGAGTCAGCAGGAGACCTTCTCCCCGCAGCAGCTTAGTGAGTTGTTTTCTCAGTGATGTGTCACTGGTTCTGTCGAGGCTGCTGCTCTAGGTGCTAGTGAGTCTGCTGCTGCACTAGGTGCTAGTGAGTCTGCTGCCGCTCCAGGTGCTAGTGAGTCTGCTGCAACTTTAGGTGCTCGTGCGTCTCCCGCCACAGGTCCTGCCTCAGCTGAGGCCTTGCACACTTTCACACTTGACTCAGGCGCGTCACGTTGCTTCTTTCGTGACTGCACCACACTCACACCACTTGCTACACCGGTACCAGTCTCACTGGCTGACCCCACTGGGGGCCCAGTAGTCGCACGAGCCTCCACTGTCCTCCCGTGTCCAGCAGTCCCCTCCGGTTCTCTGTCAGGTCTCCACCTCCCCACGTTCGCGACGAACTTGGTGAGCAACGCTGCCATCCAGGATGTCTGGGTTGATACCTTTATTCCTGGAGGGCAGCGTGTGGCGATCTGTACGTGCTCCCGGACTGGCCGTCACCTTGCTACGTTCACTCGACGGCCTGGGTCTAGTCTGTACACACTGACCACTGCGTCTGCACAGGTGGCTGAGTCAGGTCAGGTGGCTGCGTCGAGTCAGGTGTCTGCGTCTGGTCAGCTTGCAGTGTCTTGCTCGTGTCGGGTACTCTCCCACCAGACTCTCCTCTGGCACCACCGCCTCGGTCACCCCTCGCTGCCGCGTCTCCGCAGCATGCACTCCCGTCTCCTTGTCTCTGGCCTTCCCAGGTCCCTGCCCTCCCTCCCGCGCTCGCCTGCCCCGCCGTGCCTTCCCTGCGTCGAGGGGCGGCAGCGCGCCGCTCCTCACTCCTCCGAGTTTCCTCCGATCACTGCTCCCCTGCAGACTCTCCACATGGACGTTTGGGGCCCGGCCCCCGTCGGTGGAACGGACCAGGAGCGCTACTTCCTGCTGGTTGTTGACGACTACACACGCTACACCACTGCCTTCCCCTTGCGGCGCAAGGCGGACGTCAGCGCTGTTTTGATCCCCTGGATCCTCGTCGCCAGCTGCGCGAGCGGTTTCGTCGGGACTTCCCAGCCCTGCGTCTGCACTCTGACAGGGGCGGTGAGTTCTCTTCTGACCTCCTTGCGGAGTTCTGTCGAGACGAGGGCATCCGCCAGTCGTTCACGCTCCCGGCCTCTCCTCAGCAAAATGGGATTGCTGAGCGTCGCATTGGCTTGATCATGGAGGTTGCTCATACCTCCATGATCCATGCGGCTGCTCCCCATTTTCTGTGGCCGTTTGCGCATCAGCTCAACCTCTGGCCCCGTGTCTCTGAGCCAGAGACCTCGCCCACACTCCGGTGGACGGGGAAGGTTGGCGATGCGTCGGTGTTTCGAGTCCGGGGCGCGCTCTCCCTTGTTCGCGATGCCAAAGCGAACAAGCTCTCCTCTCGCACTCTCCGCTGTGTCTTCCTTGGCTTCCCCACCGACGCCCCGCCGTGGCAGTTCTACCACCCGCGTTCGCGTCGAGTCTTCTCCTCCCAGGACGTCACCTTTGACGAGTCTGTCTGTTTCTACAGGCTACACCCGCACGCGTCCCACCCGGTCCCCCTAGCGCCTCTTTTCTTGGTACCAGTCTCCCCCCCGGTAGACCCCCTCCCCCCTCAGGTGTGTCTCAGGTAGTCCCACCCCCCTTGGTTGAGCCTTTGGAGATCTCTTCTGACTCCTCTGGCCCAGCTGAGGGGGGTGACCCCGCCGCTGACGACACGGCGGCCACTCGCCGCTCTCCACGCTTGGAGACCCCCCCTGGTTTTCCGCCTCGGCCATCTTCGCCGCCTCCGCAGCCTGCTGCTGTGGACTCTGGAGCTGAGACTGCTGGTGCTGAGCCTGGG